CCAGCAGAAGAAATCTTGGAGGCAGGGGTGGTGTCTGTCAGCAAAATAGTTGGATGCTTTGGGAGCAGCCAGGAATAAGCTCTGTGGACACCGGTAATGCCAGATGTCACTTCACTGGAGTTAAATGCCTGAACCCCCCTGTGAATCTTCACTGAGTTAAAAGTCGATTTAGGTAATTTTAGTATCATAGAATAGTAGTTAAATGGATTATATGTCTGTATATTCTGAAAAATGGAAGCAATATATAATCACAGCAGTAATAGCAATAATGGATTGGCAACTTACATTTTATGAAAGATTGTGAAGATAGGAGTGACAATAAAGTACTAACTGTTTCAGCTTGGCACCCAGCTCTGCAAGCACTCATTTAACTAAGCAGGACGTCCCTTGTGCCTTTGTAGATGGTACCTCTGAACACAGAATTTGCTGGCTGGCGTAGAGAGAATACAGGTTACCACTGTAGTGGGTTTTGGCAGGAAGAACAAAAGCCCTGTCTCACTCCTATACAACCATCCTAGAGATTTTTCCTTTCAAGATTATTTTTAAGAGAACAATTTGAATAACTTACTCCATTATCTTAAATTCTCAGTTTCCTCTCATTCAAATCCTTTGGTTAAGGTTTTAGGGCATAGTTTGATAAGAAACTATTTGACATCACAGACAGCTTGCGAAGTCGTCGTCTCCCTTCTATGTCCTTCCCTGCTGTTCCCTACCCCACGTTACCTCCCCTTCTGCCCAGTGCTGCACCAGCACAAGCAGCCTGCGGCCACACAGTGGGCTCATGTGGCTGAAAACCAACTTTCTTTCCACACACCCTCCTTGGTTATTTTTCAGCTGATTCAGTTCTTTAACCTGATCTAGTCAGTGGCTGTGTAAACGTGCCAGTGCTTGGAAGGAGAGAGCTGGTGTGAGAGCGAGAGGCTCGGAAGGTACGAGAGCACTGAGCCCTACAGCTGATGCGTGCAGCGCTTCCACCCGACGGCTAATCATGTCCTCACATAAATAAAATTATGTATGTGTTTATGGTTTACACAGTGTTATATGTCTCTTATGCTAACTACAACAAAAATAATGTGCCAAATATAAAAGTCATAAATCATGTGCATTTTATCTTTACTTAAAATTTCTGGTAGAGGGCAATGTTGGTACAGCTCATCCTGTGATTCCTACTTCTGCCCTCGTTTCTCACAGTCTGTAAACTGGCTCTTCACAGACGTGCAACAAAGCTAATATTTCACTCAAGGTTCCCGGGAGCTGAAGTCGCATTTTGCCCAGCGTACCGCCAAGGCGACCACATGGACTATTTGACACTTACATATTGCTGCCTGTTTATTTTTAATTTGCCAAAAGGGCAGTGATTTACCTGCTGGTAAATTTAGATCTTTGAGTATATTCCCCAAGTGACAGTGGAAAGTCTTCCCTCCCTTCTCACAGTGGGTTTTTTTCCCAGTGGGCAGCTGGACTAAAGTAGTGCTAAAATCCAGGCAGTATATTGGAAAAGCTCAATATGGACAATACAGTGAGAATGAGCAAAGTCAGTTAAAACCAGCCACGCCTCTGTCCAAAGTACAACTATGTCTTCATTAGACTTGATAACCTGTGGCTTCTTTTGCTCATCTTTGTATTATTCAGGATTTCTTGGTCCTGTTCAGTAAAACCTGCAGGAGGAGACTCGGGAAAAGCTGGTCTCAGGGTGGTGTGAGGGTGCAGATAGGATCTTCGGTGAAAAATTAACAAGAATTGCTGTTGTCTAGTGTTTGAAATTAATGTTTCTAGCACTGGTAAAAGCAGGAAGCATCAAAACTTCAAAGAATTTTGCAGCAGTGTTATGGTCTCCAAAGACATCGCTAAGTCCTCCACCTCATATTTGCTTTCTCACGGGATGTTTTCTGACTTTGCTATCACGGGGAAGGAGAGTTCAGGGGGATTATTCACAAAAACTGAAACACAAGGCTCTATTTTTCCAAAGACAGAAGCTGCAGGTGAACGCAGCAGGTGTTATGTTGCCCATTAATGAAAGTGTAGGAAAAGCCTTGGGTTCAAGACGATGATCAAATGAAAATGCCACTTGGAGTAATGGCTTTACTTAAGTACTTGTATGGTTTTCATCACTATAACCTTCAAATTCTGGGAGTTTTCACGTGGCTGTTGAGGTTCCTCTAACTTAGGGATAGGGTTAAGGTTACGAATATACTCTCAAATGGGCAGTAGTTAAGTCATAGACATGGAAACAAAGCCTGGTTTTGAAAATGGTGGATGGGTCTAGGAGAAGGCTGTTGTCTTTGCCATGTTTGAAGAAACATGAATTTAAATCCTGCCAGACTAATTCAGCTGCAAAGCTTCTGTTGAATGTATGGAATAGGATTACACCCTTGGGATACAATTTAAGCATATTAAAATCACAATCTGTAAATGTGCAAGAGGTGAATTTTAACAGCAAGGCCCAGATGAGCAAACATTCATGACGTCCAACCTGCTAACAGTCGCAAGCCATGTCATCTCAGACCTGATCCTTTACTGCTGTGTAGCACTGTCCTGGTTTCATTTGGCATAGAGTTAATTTTCTTCACAGTAGCTGGCATAGTGCTGTGTTTTGGATTCAGTTCTAGAAGGATGTTGATAACACCCTGATGTTTTAGTTGTTGCTGAGCAGTGCTTACACAGGTCAAGGACTTTTCAGCTTCCCCTGCTCTGCCAGGTGCACAAGAAGCTGGGAGGGGGCACAGCCAGGACAGCTGACCCCAACTGGCCAAAGGGCTATTCCAGACCGTATGACATCATGCTCGGGGGGAGTTGGCCAGGGAGAGCGATTGCTGCTTGGGATGGGATGGGCATCGGCCAGTGGGTAGTGAGTGATTGCATTGTGCATCCCTTGTTTTGTATATTCTGTATATACACTTACTACTACTACTACTATTATTATTATTACTATTATTATTGTTGTTGTTGTTATTCTTTTCCTCTGCTGCTTTATTAAACTGTCTTTATCTCAACCCACAGGTTTTACTTTTTTCCTGATTCTCTCCCCCTCCCACTGAGTTAGGGGGGAGCGAGCGAGCAGCTGCGTGGTGTTCAGCTGCCTGCTGGGTTAAACCACAACAAGCACTATATTGATTTTTCCTATGAAAAGCAGACCTGTAACACAGCCAGGCTAGTGGTTTAGCATTGTGTATTAGCCAAAGTGAGGTAAAAAAAATGTTTTAAAGGTGTTCACAGCAGAATCTGGGAGTCTGGACAGGACGGGTGCTCCCAGTAAAACATTGCTCGTTGGAAAGATACTAATTCCTTTACCAGAATGAAATGACCTCACAGGAGGCACCAGAGTTTTTTGTAGCACTTAATCCTTATTTAAGAGTGATCACCCAGCAGTGGCATTTTGGATATTTTATCTTTGAGTCTATTCTAAAAGCATATTCCAAAGTTCAGGCAAGGAGTACATTTTATTCCCTCTCACACCTGGAATGCAGAAACACTATAAACATCTTTCAGTTAATTCCATCACCATCCTTTGTATCATTTTACCCTTTGTTTATTCTGCAGCTGAAAATATTCAAGGTCTCTCTTTTTACTAGGGTCTTCTGGACTTGGGTCAAATAATGTACTAGCTTCAGTAGTAGCTTCAGTAGCACAAATTCCTTCGAATCACATTTATTCTGCCTGGGTGAATTAGTGAATGGATGAGCTGTGTTTCAATTAAACAATGAAGATAGACATAAACTTGCACTGAATTCCCTGGATTTGGAAAATACAATATGAAACAAGACCTCCTTAAGGTAAGGCATGCGTTGAGAACAAAATAGATAGCTAGAAGAACTATTGACACTTGTTACATGAATTGGAGGCAGCTGTAAGATAAGGAGGCACCTTTTCTTGCCTAAAGCACAGCGTGGGTGGCAAAGTATCAAATTTGGTAGATGCAGTTACAAATTTCATGTGAGGTAATACTTAACGTGTTGCTGGTGAGAAATTAGATCTAAAAGTGTGAATAATAATAAATAATAGCAGCAACCATATCTCTTTAACACCACTTTCATTTGTAAATCTCAAAGTGATATGCATCACTCATATATCTTTGGTTTATGGATGAGGAGAATGAAGCATTGGGAAGGGACCTGACTCGCTCCTGGTAAAGCAGCATTAGAGCAAAGATTGAAGCCAGGCCTTCAGCCCCTAGCCCAGGGTGAGGATGGCCCCACTGCGGGAACGGCTACCTTCTCCAGGCTGTCTTTTCTCATCAATGGCAGAAATTTAGATTTAATTTGAAATGCAACTCTACTAAGTAGGACTTCTGGTTCCCACCACACCAAGGCTGGCTGAAAGGATGTGCTTTTCAGTAAAGGAGAGCTTAGAAAAGGATAGAGATGGGACAGTTCAACTTGGAATCATTATATTTGGGGTACTGGTGGATGAAAAGCTGGACATGAGCCGGCAATGTGCATTTGCAGCCCAGAAAGCCAACTGTATCCTGGGCTGCATCAAAAGCAGCATGGCCAGCAGGTCGAGGGAGGTGATTCTGCCCCTCTACTCCACTTTGGTGAGACCTCACCTGGAGTAACAAGTCCAGCTCTGGAGCCCTCAGCACAAGAAGGACATGAACTGTTGGAGCGGGTCCAGAGGAGGCCACAAGAATGATCCGAGGGCTGGAGCACCTCTCCTGTAAGGACAGGTTGAGAGAGTTGGGCTTGTTCAGCCTGGAGAAGAGAAGGCTGTGGGGAGACCTGATTGTGGCCTTTCAGTATTCTTACTTATAAGAAAGATGGAGAAAGACTTTTGAGCCTGTTGCAATAGGACAAGGGGTAATGGTTTTAAATTGAAAGAGGGTAGATTCAGACTGGATATAAGGAAGAAATTTTTTACAACGAGGGTGGTAAAACACTGGAACGGGTTGCCCAGAGAGGTGGTGGAGGCCCCATCCCTGGAAACGTTCAAGGCCAGGTTGGATGGGGCTCTGAGCAACCTGATCGAGTTAGCGGTGTCCCTGCTCACTGCAGGGGGTTGGGCTAGATGGCCTCTAAAGGTCCCTTCCAACCCAAACCATTCTATGACTCTGTATTTGAAACCAACTGTCTAAAAGCTGTCTTACTATCTGTGTTACAGGTGAAAAGGTGCTCAGGAAGGGCATAGTTGCCAATGGGAAATAAATGGCCTCTTTGTCCATGATGGAGAGGAAGGTCATCTAGCTAGACAGTAACTCCAGGGAAAGCTTTGGCTCCTCCCATTTGGAAAAAGGAGACATTTTGGCAGACAGTGCTTCTGACAATGCAGAGCATACATTGCTCACAAAAGTACTCGGATCCCTTCCTCTGCAACTGCATGAGGTCCCTATGCTAACTGCAGCAACTGCTTATAAAACAAACTATTAAAGTAACTATTTTCTCCAATTTTAAATGGAATTTTGTGTGCTTGATATCTTCTTTGAGCAAGTTAATTGCTCTTGACTTCTTCCCTCCCACCTGCCTTTCTACTCAGCGTGGTTTTTTCTATTTGCAGATTCAAACCTCTTCCTCACACACTGCGCGTCAACCTGCTCCTCTCCCCCATGAGCCCCCCAGGGCAATGCTCTCCTACAGGTGAGGGACCACTCTGGTTGCTGTGCTGTGGTAGCCCTGATTTGGGGATGGCTCTTAAGCTTCTTTCATCCCTCCTCTTAAGTAACAACAGGTCCTGGGAGCTTTTGGCCCAGAGGCTCACGGGTTTCCAGGGTACCAGGAGCAAGAGATCAGCTTATCCTGATCTGGTCCTCTAGTTGCATCACTGGGTTTGGAGGAGTTACACATATCTGGAATTATATTTATACAGCAGCTTGGTCGGAGCTATTGTATGCTTCGGCCAGGAGGACAGCGTGCGTTGGGAAGGCCTGGCCATGCTGATAGCGCCCGCCTGGATGAGATGCAGCAGCCGTGCAGTGCGTGAGCAGCAGTGCAGCACAGCGGGGGCAGCCAGACCTACGCTGAAACCCCTGGCAGAAATAGGGCAGCCTCGCCACGAGGCCTCCTTGGCCTTGCAAGGCAAGGTGCTCCACTCCTGGTTTCTACGCTGTTTAGAGAAACAAAAGCTGAAGTCCACTCAGATATCCACCACATCAACACTTTGACACATTGACTCTGCCACATTGGACACTTTCAAGACTCAGCTGTGTGCTGGGCCACCTTGTCTAGACTGTGCTCTTACCTAGAAAGGTTGGACGAGATGATCCTTGAGGTCCCTTCCAATCTAGGACTCTGATTCTATGATGATCCAGAGAGAAGTGCTGAATAATTTGGGTTGGATGGAACTTCTGCAGGTCCCGAGTCTGACTCCCTGCTCAAAGTCAGCATGGGGTGAGACGAAACAGAAGTGAGATACCTGGGGATCAGGGGTGGACGTCTGCAACCCCGGGAAAGGAATTGGAGCCCCGTGACCTTCCAGCTCTCTGGAAACACTGTGGGTCTGTTGGAAAGTGCCATCATAACAACCACAGCAAGAATGCTTGGGGCTCAGTGCCTTTCATCCAGGGGCTTCACACACAATTAAGCCTGATTAATAGAAACAGTCCTTTTTATAGACACGGTAGGGATAGGGAACATGAGGCCTTGTCTGAGTCACTTAAGTTGAAAAAATCTCACTATTAAAATACCACATTTTAAAATTGATCTAGTTAAAGTAGGGCAGTTTTTCTATTATAGGCATGCCCTAGGGCATGGAGGGATTAACATTGCGCTTCCCAATGTCTGGAGCATCCACAGCTCCCACTAACTTCATTTGGGAATATGAATGTTTTAACAGTCATGGAAATCTGGCCCTCAGCAATGGGCCTGAGTAGACATGGCTTTTTTGTATTAAGCCAGTGATAGGAATGAGAGCAGAATTTTGGGTTCCATGGCAGGGAAGGGGCTGAGGAAGATCAGCAAGCGGGTCTGTAGGGTGGCTCTGCTCTCCTACCTTCCCTTTGCTCCATATCCAGCCAATGCTTGTCATATACATAAGTATATCTATACCCTCCTGGGCGGATCCAGGTCCGCGGTGCCCTGTTCAGAGCCATATCAGCACAGAATCATCGAATCATGGAATCATTTAGGTTGGAAAAGACCTTTGAGATCATCAAGTCCAACAGTTAACCTTACACTGCCATCCCACCACTAAACCATGTCCCTAAGCACCTCATCTACCCGTCTTTTAGATACCTCCAGGGGTAGGGACCACAAAGCATCAGGAGGTGTCCAGAGAGCCAGGATTGGTGTCTGGGGTACACACAGCGTATCGGCTTGCTTTGCCATGTTAGCTTGTTTCTGATAGAAGTAAATTATTTACATCTCTGTGGTGAAGTGGATCTTGTGTCTGCATGAAGAACACAGAGCTGAGCAAGGGCTGGCCGGGCAAAGGGAGTAGGGCACGTTTCTGTGCTTCACTGCTCAGAAGCATAATACTGATAGTAATGCGCAAACGGCAGGGTTGTCAGCTCTGAAAACCTCAAGCCGTTAAAAATATCCTTAGAGACATTTGCTCCTTTCTGATACCACTAACGATCCGCACCTTTGAGTTTTTCTACACAGCCCATGATTTTTTTCCTTTAATGAACGTGCAGATCCCTTCGCTGTGGCAGTCGGGCAGAAAACCCCATGTAATATCACAGGCCTTTGCAATCCCTTAGCGAGCATTGCGACACTGCGGCTGGCTTGCTACATTTGCAGAGAGACCTTTGCCTCGGTAGCTTGCACATCCCGTTGGTCTTAATGTCATGCTGCCAGCCCGATGGATTAACCCAGACTTTGTGATCTGCTCAGAGCTGGTGCTTACAGGGAAACTGGGGTATTGGAGGGAGATCTAATACTTGATAAATCCTTTGCTGAGTTGGCGATGTGCGCAGACTGCTGGATATTTCTGCTTGTGTGACTGTTTTTTAAATTTGTCTTCTTAGTACTCAGAGTAGGCTATTTTTACAGGGAGTTCATCTATATCTGAATAGATTTCTTAGACGTGTCCCTTCATGGAAAGGAAGCGTGCAAGGCTAATTATGATTGAGAATTCGCATACATCTAAGGCCATAACATACCTGCAATCTAAGATATTTATCTGTTTTTAATGAGCAGTGAACAAACACTCCTGGGAGTCCCCACCTCCCATCCAGTCACTGGGTAGTTCGTTCACTAGATTTGACGTTTTGGGGATTTTCACTTTCAAGTTATTCATGAATTTATAGGAGAAGTAAAATAAACAAATGGGTGAGAAACTGCTTAAAATGAATGGCACTGTCACCAAGGCTGTAACTGTTACAAAGTCGTGGCACCATTTTTTAACGTGACATCCGTGTGTATGTCACACCAGCTGCTTTGCTGGATTGGCTTCACGGCTCACGTAGTCCTATATCCTTTCCCTGACAGTAGTCAGGGGAGGAAGGAACAAGAAACGTCCTAATCTTGATTAGCTGAGGTTTGGGGTAAAACCCTGACAGCTTTCAAAATCTCAGAATGTTGCAACTCCGAACACTCGTGTTGGCATTCATGCCCTTACTGACTGCTACAGCATTTTTGCCATCGGTAACATCTGGTAGCTGGGAGTCCCACAATTGCACTAAACATCATGGGGAACGGCCTAACTTCACGTCACTTCCTAATACGTCACGTTTTAATTTCTTCAGCTGTCCATTTCTCCTTGCATCATGAGGGAGGACGGAAATCCGTTCTACACCTTTTCTACGTCAGCATTATCTGATGCATTTCTGTTACTCGTGTTTCTGTGCTTAAGCAGCCTCTTCCATCTTCAGGCTTATACGCCCTGGAAATAAGCTGTTGACAAGTAAGTGAGAGTGTGAATTCAAAGTGCAATACCATGTTGCACAAGCTCCTTGTGTGGCCACCCCTGCTCCAAATTTGGAGGGCTTTTTAAAATGTGTCCCAGCTTATTTCTACTGCACGCAGAGAGCACGTTGCAAAAGTCCCAGCTTACTCTTTATAGCTCAGACCTTTTCCCACCGTACCTCAACAAGCGGGGCAGACGTGCTGAGGTGCAACTGCGCAGCAATATCTGGGCAGGGCAATCATGTCCCCCAGCAGCCTCCACCACTTTCCCCCTGTTGGGCAGCCTCTCTGGGATGTTGCTGATGACCTCCTCCAAAGCCTCCTTTAAGCCCCTCTGACCCTATAGTTCCCAAAATAGGGTCAAGTGCTGTCATCAGGCTGGGCACAGCGCAAAAGGAGGGGCAGAGAGGGTTGTGGAGAGATTACTTGGCTGCAATTTTACAAATTATGGGTAATATGGAAGATCAGGTTTTAAGAAATCAAAAAAGGAGAAGGTGGGTTGGCAGTGTCGCTCTGTTTGTTATCTCTGCATTTGCTGTGCAGCCACAAATTCTCTGGTGTCCTGGCCCAGGGAGAATATGATTATATGAGCGAGTTTGGAAGAAAGCTGGGTGTGATTCCTTAGCTTTTAGAGCAGTAGTCCCAGGTAGGACTCTGCAGAGCTGTCACTTGTATTTGTTCATTGCGGGTTTTTTTTTTTCATTTACAGATTATCCAAACATTTGAGCTACGAGGGTGATGTGGAAATCATATATTCTATAAGGATTTTCCCCTTAAAGGCAAGCTCACAGCGTAAAAGGTCTTCCAGGCTCTGCGGAGGGCTGGCAGGAGTTTCTGAGTGACAGCCAAAAATATGTTCTTGCAGCAGTGTTTCCACATTGATGGCACTACAACAGAGGCAGCTCCGCTAGAGATGGAGCAGGCAAACCCACGCTTTGGCAGGATGGGGAGATCTGCCTGCCTAGACGTAAGGGTAGCTGTCAGCTTTGCCGTTTTATTTGTCTTCACCTAAGGCAGTGGTAGGAATTATGTTCATACGGCAAATAAAAATAGTCCTAGTAAAAATATCCTAGGTCTTTATCCTCTCACTTTTATCTTACCCAAGAGTTATCTGCATCGCTTTGGAAAGCTGATACTCCCTGAACACCGTACGAGCCCTGCATAGTGTTGGGTGCTGGAAAGGCGACTAATTACTGATTAGTTACAAGTGCTGCAGAGAGGCGAGGAGGAGAGAAACCCCCTGAAGTTTTCACTGTTTCGGTCTCACTTTAGCTGCCATGGATTTAGCACCCTTTTCAGCTGGGGCCAAGAAGAGGTTTCAAATGACTCGTGCAAATGGACTAAAGTTTCAGGGCAGCTCATGCCCGGGAGGACATTCTCTTCTACCTAGCTAATTCCCGAAATATAATCGGCAGGCCCCGGCTGAGCCGAGGGAGCCTCTCGCGTGTACGGTGCTTTACCCTGCCGGTTGACCTAGTTGTTAAGGCAGGGAGTCACGCACAATGCCAAGCCTGTTAAGTGACTGCAGATTTCTTCGCTCAAACAAGCAAACAAGAAATTAAAGAAAAGCTTCAGCCGTGTTGATAAGCTTGTAGGGGCACACAGGGCTTGTTTGTTTGGTTTGGGGTTTGGTTTGGCCTTTCGTTGAACCTGGTGAGGATGGAAAGCTGCAGTAAGCTTTAGTGCAGCACAGGAGGCCGGAGGAGGCAGACCCACAGCTCCCAGCCATGCGGGGCTTTGCGAGAGCCTACACAGCATCGATCCTGCTCTGTTTGCCATGTCCTCCGATGCCCTGGAAGTGTTTGCTCTGCCGTGCTGGTGTCTTAGTCAGAGAGGTAAAAGGAAAGACGGAAACTGTCTGTGTTATAGCACACCCTGGTCAAAGGCGGCACAAGGTTTCTGCAAGATGAGCAGCGTCAGTGGCATTCCCATGCCTGCCTAGCTGTGATCTCCATATCACTGGACATTAGAGACACTTTGAAGAACATTACAGGGACCCGAATTTCAGAGGAAAAGTGCATAGCAGTTTGTGATCAGTTCCCCTGTAAGGACTACATCGTCCTTAAATGATCAGCTATGAACTCACAAGTCGTGGTCTAAATCCTTTTCCTAATTGTCCTATGCTTGCAAATACAGCTTGTATTAGCCATCTGTGTTTTAGGACTATGCCATGTAAGTGGTTTGGGGTGGCATTTAAAAATAATTCCAGTAATATTCAGAAAATTCTTTTCAGCAATAAAACTTTCTTTTCAGTGTCCATGATGCGTAGGAGCTTGTGGTAATTTATGGTGATGCTGGAGAAGCGAGGCTTGCTCCTGGAGGAAGCCCTTGTTTGTAGCCTGTAACATGGATATGCACAAACTGGTTTTATGTTCTGTTTTAAAAGACTATTTGTGAGCACTTTAAGAACTGAGGACAGGATTTACGATGCACGGAGTGAGAAGACTGTTCTTTGCTCAGCAGTGCTACTGCCCAAAGAGCCAGACACTTCACTGGGTCATTTGCTGCCCTGACCTTTTTTCAGAATATTTTCTTATTTGAAATATATCTTCAGGCAGAGGGAAGTGGCCCCATCATTTTATTTTATTAAAAAGAAGCCCCGTGAATATCCCTTCTCAGTTTGGCCATACCTGTGAGGTGAGTGCTGTGTATACCCCATGGGACTGGGTAGAGGACTGCAACGTATGGATTGGCAGTGGTGCTTTACATGTATAACTGCGATAAGCCAGAGGCAAATAGAGCTGATCTGCATACAAAATATTCTCTTAATGAAAAGGCAGATGAAGGAATACAGGTCTTGCTCTGTTACAGCTACAGCTTTCAAGATACTAAAGATCACAGGCTCTTTGCACAACATTTTTTATGAGAAATGAATGCTCTAGAAACCATTCTTCATCATAAAAGATGCCAGCATGGATGGAACTGTGGAATGAATCTCCGTGTCACCAGCAATACAAAGGACCGACACAGAACTGCTTTTTATTTATGATATATTACACTGCATAAACGCTAATGGGCCATGGGTGCTGGAGCCAAACCGTCTGGACCGGATCCAACGACTGCAGGTGTTACCATGGTAGTGCCTCCACCAGCTTCGAAGCAAAGTCTTCTACTTGAGCAGCTCCACCGTGCTGGCTCATGTTCAGAGCCTGAGGCCTCGAGTCAGTCCCACAGACCTGCTTTTCCTACGCAACTAATTATTATCTTCCCATGCCCTTGCATCACAACTGCACAACCACAACAAAGGTTTGTGCTCTCCATGGCAGTGCTGTCAACAAAAGGTCTCCTTGCATGGCTTTTGGGTCATATTCTCAGAGATCTGTATTCGAACAAGGTCCCCAGGGGAGTGGTCATGACCCCAAGCCTGTCAAGAAGCGTTTAGACAATGCTCATAGGTATATGGTTTAACTTTTTGGTTGCCCTGTGTGGAGTCAGGAGTTGGACTCAGTGATCCTCATGGGTCCCACCCAATTCAGAATATTGGGTGATTCTACGATTCGAGTGTTTTCTACTTTTCCCACTTCCCAATATGTGACTACAAGAATATTAGTGCAGCAGTTTGGTGAAAACTTTAAGATCACTGGGTGCATGAAATAAGAATAGAAGAGGACTTAGGCTTTTTTTTTTTTTAGCTTTTAACCATACACAAAATATCAAACAACATTGCTCTTTTACTATGCAATAGAAGAATCATCTGTTAGAGAAGGACAAACAAAGAAGCTCATATGCAAACTCCAGCTGTCCCCCAGTGCATGTTACAATGGCTGGTCGGATTTTTACAATCTGCCTCCTCTGCTCTTGTCACTTCATTCTGCCTCGGAAGTCTCTGCTCAGCTGTAAGTGTTAGCAACTGAGCAATGGCGAGGGGCACGGTTTGCAGGATGAGCCCCAAAGTGCCAGCAGCAGCAGCTGGCCGAGGGCTGGCAGTGGGAAGAGGTGTCCCTCCATCTGTAAAGAAAATCACAAGGCATGAATAGTGAATCAAACCAGAGCTATTACAATATCTTATGCAATGTTTTAAAAGGGCATTTATTATAATATGTTGCAAATATGGAAATCTCTTTTTCTTTTTTTCCCTGGAGATGTGTATTAAAATGTATAAAAACATTTGTGGCTTGTTGCATTTTTTCATTTGCAGAGTTTATTCCTAGAGCAGGGCTTTTTCCTCTGTGATCCTCTTCAGTACAAGATCCAGCTAGAGGGTACTTACTCTGCACCGCCGGTGATGAAGGCGGCACCATTTGTTTGATGGGAGGAGGCAACTGCGAGGTTTAGGTTTCTTCCTAACAGCTCGGTAGCTGCATTACAAATAAGACCACCGCCTATACTGCCTGTATTTACATAGCCTAAATGTCACCAAAGAATGTAGGCTGCAAGAATCTGGGCCTAAAAGTGTCACAGAAGTTCCTTTATCTCCCTTCTTGCAATGAATAAGAAAAGCCCAGTTATGGTAAAATGCTCTTTGCTGCAAATTACATTTTAAGCACAATTAACATTCAAGGCACTAATCTGGAAATGATTCAAAGAAAGATTTCTGTCGTGGGGTTCTTTGAATTAATTCTTTGCACATCATCTGTAAGCATTAAGTCCTCGATATTGGTTTCGTATATGTACGGAATTGTGATTGCCCTGTTGTGAACGAAAGCAATGCTTTCGTACAATGTAGAGGATTGAGCTGATACTCATTATCACATTGGCACTCATTGTGGATACCACTGAAACAGCTTTCATGAAATTAACCACTTCAGAAAACAGATAATATATGATTGGACTTATCAAAATGAGTTTTTTCTCCACAATCTATTTGTAACCTGATGGCTTGCAAGACATGGAGGTGAAAAATAAGACAATTTTATCTGCAATTAGCACCACACATCTGAAATATACCTTGAACTTGGGCTTCTATTATGTCTAGAGTTGTTATGACAAGTATAACTGCTCTGTGGCCTTTTGGGCCAAATCCTATTTCAAGAATGGCGGTAGTAATGTATCTGAAGCTTCTGTAAAATTACTCTGCTGAATTTGGGCAGCTAGGGTCGCCTGTGCTTGAGTATGAATTTTTTGGAAGATCTTTCACTCTCCTCAGAAGCACAAATATTCCCACTAACTCCATCTTCAAACTTTTCTGGTTGATATTTTTCTCCCAGTGAGTTGTAACTTTTATCTAATTGAATGAACAGATCCGTATTTGTTTGCAGAGGTTTGGGCAGCTTATGCCCCATGCTTAGGACTTCTTAACCTAAAGCACTGCAAAAGAGGAATTTCAATTTTTCCAGGGTCACCAATTCCAACTGCAATTTCAGGGCCCCTCTCATCTTTCCCAGCCCCTCAAGGTGTACAAAACACAATTTAGTTCCTTGAAACTTGGTGTGCTTCTTTCCAAAGAGCCCACCTGGTGCTGAGGGGTCAGGAATGATTGTTAATGCACTCTCTGCTTCATATTTTATTTCCTGAAATACTGCATATAATTTGGTTGATTTTGCAGTTACTGTAGTGGGTACTAATATTGCAGGGGGGTTATTATTATTATTTAAATCATGTTAATTTTAATAGTGTTCCGGCATGTTAAATTCTAAGCACATTCTTGGCAAGAAGTCTCTGTAGCTCATAGCTCCTCCTCTCCCAGCTTAGCTGCTTCAGTTGATGCTGTGACTGCCATTGCAGTGACACTTTCAGAGCATCACTCAAGCACATTAATGCAGCTTTAATTACCGATACGGTTACCCCGCCAATAGACAAGCTCCACTGTACCATCCAGATAATTCTTCATGGGCATTTATGTTTATGTATTTACCCACAGCACAAAATCACTTGACCTTTAGTAAAGTTTGTTGATTTATCTCTCTGTACCACGCTCCACACAGTCCTCTCAAAATTTATTCCTTGCAGGTTCAAAAGCCATCATTTCCACTGTCTTACTACGAAAATCTGAACCTCTGGCCTCGGTTTGGGTTGACTTTTTCCTTTTTATTTTCCCCTGCAGCTTCTTTGGAATATCAAGATTCTGATCTGCCTGCAAGCCCCAAGCAGTTAAATACAACTTTGGGCGGTTTTTCTGCTTAAGGGCGTGATTTGGGGTTGCTCGTTATGACAGCCTTGCAGTTCCAGTTGTTATCTGTCGTGGGTAGGTGTATAACTGCATTTTCATTGGAATCTCACTCATTTATTCTCTGTTCTGTGAGTACTGGAAGCTTAACATGTCATTAGTATTCTTTGTGGTCTTTTGAAAAATATCAGCTGAATCATTATAACACAAGGAAAATGGGTACCTCTCAAATTTGTCTCCAGTTTCCCTCCTATTAGGGCGTTAAACTATGTGAAAACTTCATTCTTGGCTTGAGCCAAGAGCAGTTGCACGTAGAGCTGAACATTAGTGAAAACTAATTACCTCGTCCTCAGCTTCCCGGCAGGGGAAGAAAAGAGGAGTTATCAGAGGAGGATGAGCCAAGAGAATGCCCTGGTTTTCCAACATTGTGCAGAGAGAGAGACGTAAGCCACGGCTGATGAGGAATGCTAATGGTATCGCGCAGCTGGCGTCTCGCGCTAAAGCAAGCAGCCGCAGCGACAGCTCAGTACCGCCATCGGAAGAAATCAGCACCCGTCTTTGCTGGAAGCAGAGCTGCGTGCGTTCTCATCAGTGCCCTAAGGGATTTCACTGCAGCACTTTATTATTACCTTTATTTTATACTTCACTCATTGGGTCGTTAAGGATGCCACATGGACGTGTGATTTAAATCTCCCATATGGGACTCTGGTGAACGGAAATGTTACGTGGGCCCCAGGGCTTTGTGGTGGCACTGTCCCATAGAAGCTCACTGAGGCTGCGGTAGAACAAGACCATTTGCTTCACGGACATTAGCAGTTACCACATCTGCTTCCCACAATTTGTGCCTTATTTTTCATACTGCAGAAATCCCAGCTCACGCTATCACATCCCCATCTCCCTCCTTCTCTACAGCCCCACGTTCTCCCCATACCCCCTAAGACCCTTTGCCCACGGTAACCTGCCAAAGGCTGGCCGGGGAGGAGGGAGCGCTGCGGCTGGTCCAAGCCATTGCTATCCGGCTACACAGAGCAGATGATCACTGCACTCCTGCTGACACCTCTTCTTGGTGCAAGCGGCCACTCTGCTGCGGAAGAAACGAGCAGAATGTGAGGTTTATTCAGTGTCCTCCCACCGAAAGAAGAGGACTCCATTTGCTAAATAAATCCTTTTCACTTGGAAGATGAAGACCAGGCCTGCTGCAGGTGGGGCTTTTAAGAGGACTCCCTAGAAGAAGACCAGTGCTACCCTGGAGAAATGTGGAGACTTTAGAGTGTTAAAATCACAGAGCTGTACCTGACCGGGGCCGAGGGGAAGGTATAGCAAGCATTGCCTTTGCTGCAGTGACAGACTGCTGCTACTGATATCTGTAACCTTCCCTCAAACTGAAAAAGCAGCAGCTGCCTGCCGCTTTCTGGTATTGCTGTTGGAAAACTGAAGTTTAGAAGCCATGCATCATCTGTCAAAAATCTTTATGAATCTTGCTGCGGTAAATGCAGGGGTGATGAATGCATACTACAGGAGTTTTGTGGCAGAGAAGCAGAGCTTGCTGTTTCAGGCAGCCCTAGCCCAGTCATGCAGAGTTTGTTGAGGGCTCTTTTATCCAGACGGACGAACCTCAAGGAAACATTATCCCAGAGGAAAGGTTGGCAGGAGACAGCATGTCACCTAGATGATGGGAATATTCTTCTGACCAGGATTTAGAAACCAGACAGCTTACGGAGACAGTAACGAAGACAGAGCTTTAGAGTAAAAGGTACCAAACCCGGCAGCGTCTTAGCTGTGGTCCTGCAAGTGGCACTACCCATGTCGAATCTTCCCATTGCGGTTGCTGTTTTTACTCAAGGTGAACAGGTTTACAAACACACTGTATGGACAGCAGAATAAATATGATGATTTGAATGCCCAGTCCATTTCTTTTTCTCCTCAGGAAAAATGCTAAGATGCCCTTACATCCCCATGTCTATGCAGTACTTGGCAGAAGGGACAATCCATAGTTGCTAATTTTTAAGATTCTACTGAGAACTGTAAGGTATTCGAGGTGCTTTTAAGCGTTCATTACGAAACACTGGTACATTTTATCAGTTTGCCTTTATCCCTAGTGATCACCTTTTCCTATCATCTTGAGAGGGATTACGCTGTTGAGAAGAAGAGACCCCTGCACAATAGGGAGCAAGAAAACGTGGAGCTCAGAAAATGGGGAAAGGTACTCGGATGAGAAAAGATCCACAAGGAATTAGATAAATAGAAGGAAGAAGAAACTTTAGGGGAATTGCAGAAGAGTGTTAGGCTGGAGATACGGCTGGTGGGGCTGCAGCCAGGCATGGGTGGAATAGGGAGGGGAGGAAGGACTGGAAGAGCAAAGCGGGGTTTGGGGGAGGGGGGAGAGGATTGGGGCTGAGCACCCCAGTGTAGGTGGCCCAGGGCCTGGCTTGTTAGTAAGGAAACCACAGAAAGGGGAATTAAATGCCCCCTTCTGTAACCCCTCGTGTTATGAAAGAATTTTCTCTAAGTAACAACCAGAATTTGCTGTGCCTGCATTATTTTGAAACCT